AATTAAAAAAAAAAAAACCAAAAAACCAACAAAAAACATGACTTGAAGATAGTATTTAACCATCCCTTTTCTGAGCTATTTTATTGGTCTCCAAAGATAATGGGCTAAAGCCTCTGTCCTTAAAGACTGCTTTCTGGCAGGGGACCAGGGACTGATGTGGCATGGAGATGCTGGATGGGGACCTGGCTGTGGGATGCAGGAGAGGGCTTTGCTCCCTTCCCACCCTGATGATGAGGTTCTGGGTTGGTTTTGTTTTTTGGTTTTTTTTTTTTTTCCTTTTTTTCTCTCCATAGAAACAAGCAATCTCTGACTCTTGTCACTTGGAGAAGACTACACAGCAACATGGCTTGTTTACTCGCTGTTGTCTTCGGTGGATTGAAGCTGTGTGGCCTTGTCCTGGTTCCAGGAAATGCATGGACAGAGCTGTCTGAAGGAAAACCCGAGTGATTGTATAGCTTTCAGCGCCGAGTGGCAGTTAGCCACCTCGCTTTTATTGGTAACAGATCACACTGTTGCCTCACTGCTCTGTGCCACACACCACGCTGTGACTAATATCATCCAACAAAAGAAAATCCCCTCCAAAGTGACCACGTTCTCGAGCCTAATGGATCTGGTAGAGGCTCCATTCACCCGATGCTGTTCTCTCTCCGCATCTCTCCCAGAAGCGAGGGTAGGAAGAGGGGCGCAATTCCCCCCTCTGGGAAGCTCACGTCCATGATGTCACACCTAGGGTGGTCGCTGCTGGATCCCGCACCCTCCCAGCTGTCAGGAGAGCGGAGCTGGGTTTGCTCACACCGCCCAGCCTCGGGAGCTTGTTCAGCATCTTTCCCCACCGAACCCTCCAAAAGAGGGGTGTGCAGTAACAACATCCTCACTTGTTTGTGCCATGAAAGGAGCTGGAAAGAATGCACCGAACCACATGACAAGCGAGGACATCGGGCTGCTCAGAGAATAGAAAGACCTCGTTTTTAATTACTTCTGAACAAAGTTGGCTCAGTAAAGTATTTCCCATTGTACTGCTGAACTTTTCTTCTCATCACACAGCAGTGAAACGCGGGCTCCTCCGCTGCTGCAAGTGAACTCAAATCAAGTCTGCGTTAGGGATCACTTCAAGCCCTATTAAAAGCAGACTACTCATCTATCACCAGCGTTTCAGACCTTTCTGCAGCATCCAGGCATCACTTTGTCACTGTAGTTGTTTTTATCATGAGAATCTTAGGAAGCAAGGCTGTCCCACTGTCCTTTTTTTTTAAGTGCTCAAAGATACGTTCTCCCCACGGCTCCAGGCACGAGCGGTCACTGAAAGGCCATTACAGAGAACTGGCTTGGAGCACTGAGGCCTCTGAAGTCCTGGATTGGTGCTTTGGTCACAGCAAGTGGGGATGTAAGGGCTGGTATTCATGAGATGAGGCACAAACTGGCTCTACCTATGTGCTAACAGCAGGGCCACAACTACAACAGGTATGAAATGAAGAATTATTACTTGAGTAAAGGTTCTCATCTTTAAAGCCTGCTAATTCAGACTGTAAATTCTTCGGGGCATGGACTTCATGGTTTGACTGTTGATAAAATATCTTGCATCGTCTTGGTCTGGGCCAAAGTAAAACACAAGCAGGCTTCAGTTCCTCGAGTCTCATTATGAGATCAGAGTCCAAGGAGTCACTAAAATGCACTGCATTTCAGAGTCCTGTGGATTTAGAGAACAGTCAGAAGTGATTCATGTGTAACTGATGTCTTCCTGAGCATGCAGAGAGCCTGAAACAATAGATCTGAGAGACGCAGACGGCCCCATTCACTTTTTCTTCAAAATCTGCCGTTTCCTCAAGTAGGAACTTGGTCAGCCCACAAGAAAAAAAATCCACATCATACAGCTAAAGACACCAGAAGGCCATGCAGGCGTGCGCCTTGGGCACTCTTGCACGATTTAATTAAACAGCAATTTAGCATCTCGCATTGGCACATCTTTTAACTAAAGACGAGTGACTTCCCACGCAGCAGTAAGGGCCCCATCCTCATCACTGCTTCCCTTGCTGCCAGCGACAGAGATCGCACCGATCGCGGACAGGCTCCCGCTCCTGCTGTCTGGGCACGTGGTGTATTTCAAAAAGCATGAGCTACACCCTCCTCTTCACCGGTGAGCCCATCGAACGGCTTTGCTGCAAGTCCTGCTGCTTCTATTTTTTATTTTTTGCAGAATATAAAGCTCCTGTTTTCCCGATAGCGACCCCAAGGTGATTTCTGAAGCCTACTGTTTTGCCTCCATGTAACTACGAAGCCTCTGCAGGAGCTCCGAAGCCTGGTGAGCCTCCTGCACCTCCAGGCTCCATTTTCAGCAGCTGCCTGGGCTAACTCCTTCCCGGCAGGTCGTTGCTCTTGAAGCAGAGAGGACAGAAGTGACCTTGGACCTGCACTTCAGTTGCTACCGATCCGCTGAAGCTGCTGGTGCAGATGGGTTTGCAACAGGCTGCCAAACTCTGACCCGGAGCAGCTGCTGCTTTGAGTTAAAAGCACTCTTTAACGACTTTAAGACGGCAAGGCCCAAAAGACCTTGCCATTTATTAATAACCTGAATCAAAAAGGACTACTGAAGTTGGAAATACAACTATTACAGCAGCAACACCATCACTCCAGCCCGTTCAAAATGCTAATGAACGGTGCATTAGCTTGAGCTTAGAGTAATTGTTTTTCTTCTCTGAGTCTAACCACAGTGACACACCTCTGCCCAGCCAGCACCTTCTCCGTAGCGTCGTTTGGGCAGTTAATTGCCTGTTGGGAAAGCAACAAGCCATCAGGTAGTACTGTGAAATGTGGCCTCCATACCTGACAGAAAAAAGCGACAGGCTGGAAGAGAACCGCCGAGATCTGCCCACCTGGATCCAGACCCAGCCCAGCTCACCCTGCGAGATCCACCACTGCAAAGAGAAAATCACCCAGACCTGTTTGTCCAAACAAAAGCGGCCACTGACCGCGTGCAGTGCTGAGAGCGGAGCGAGCGAACGTAACCTTTCTGTCACACACACACACACACACATCTGCGCTGAAACTTCACGTGAAGAAATGAAATAAGGTAGAGGATGAAATTCCCACAAATTTGACCAGAAAAGGCTGGTTCCATCTGTAAAGCACCAGGGGAAGTTGAAGATGCTGGAAGCTTTCGCTGGCAGAATAACTGCATTTTAACGGCTGAGGTCACCTGGGCATCTCCACCAAAGCAAGCGGCACGGCAAGAGGCAAAAAGACCATCAGATGATCACGTTACTTAACTTGCCCTCATCTGGAAGGGGAAGGCAGTGATGTACAACTGGTTTTTTGCTTTTCTTTCCTCTGCTTTCTAAGCTCATGATGTCATGAGCATGTTTAAGCAGTAACATAACCCCTGACTCTTACTCTTGAAGTGCTGCAACAAGACGCAGAGGACTCCGCAGCGCTGATGTTTGAATTCCGACTAAGTGATAGTGAAAATAATTTTCAGCTGGAGAAAAAGAGAGCATTTTAGAGCCTGGCACTATTATTTTTCAGAAACCTTTCCTTTGTTGACCTTACAAGAAGCTGAAGCAATGCTTTCCTTGAGCCCCTCTGTACACAGTACATGATAACGATGAGAACTTTTTATTTAATACTGTACGAAATGTCTGACCCTTGAGGCATAACAACGTGCTTAAAATACACTTAACGGTACCCTCTGGCTAAAAAAAAGTTTCCAACTCACACTTAAAAAAATATCCCTTTAGATGCTTACTTTGACTATGTGCCCAGCATCAATGGCAAAAGTGCTTCTGTTTAGAAAGGATGGTTCAGCCAAAATTCAACTTGTTTTTCAGGAATAGGAAACCAAAGGAAAAAAAAAAATGTAGTAAAGGCCATACCAAATAAATCAAGTGAATGATCACATGTGGGCAAATCTTACTGTTCAAGCAGGTACTTGACAGCACTTTCACAACGAAAAGCTGCCGGTGCTGCTGTCTCACCCTCGTGGCTGTCTGATGCTGCGGGTGCAGGAAGAGCGCACGGGTGGTGACAAAGGCACAGCAGGAACAGGCCTTGCTACTATCCCCAGCAACGTTTCAAACAACTCCCTACCAGACCAGTCACCCACATGTTTTGACCGCGGACTGTCTGCTTTTCATTTCCACAACAATGATCAATATTAATGTAATTTCATGGAAGCACTGGAATCACACCAAATTATGAGACAAGACAATCAGGAAGAGCATCTCTTTTCTAATTAGCTGCATCCACGAAAAAGGGACCTGTAGTGTTCTGGGGAAAAACAGAGGAGAAAACTGATCTTCGCTTTCCTCGGTCACACTGAAATCAGAAATAGGAGGTTTACAAAGGGCTGAACTAACAAAGCTGACCAAGGGGCTACCCACCTCTTCCACCTGATATTAACAGCTATTACCAGAACTCAGCGGCTGAGCCGGTGTTTCCACAGCCATTCTTCAAGAGCACAAAAAGGGGAACCTCTCTCCCTCTGGCCATTTTTATCAAAACTATATCGAGAACCCCCAACAGGCAAACCCCATTTTTTAGTAAACAGAACTGTAACCTTTAAGACAGAATTTCTGTAGCTGGCTTTTAACTCACTGGTACAAATGTGCAGGTACAACCTTTAAAGGAGAGAACGTAAGCACCTACACGAGGCTGCACACAGCTACCAAGGAGCAGGTTTTTGATCCAGGCCTAACAACCGTACACATCGGACAGCAAACCAACCCCTGGCCAATGAAAACCAAATCCAGGGAGTGTGGGTACTTCGTGGGTCACCGTGTAGAGAAACTGCCCCTCTGCCATCTGTCTTGACAAACACACGTTGCAGGTACAACTGCAGGAGCCGGGCAGGCAAGTCAGCTGTGAGATGTGTGCCTCATCGGGGTTTGACAAGCTGGCTTTGCACTTCGTGGTTCAGCTTGCAGAAATCAGAGGATATGCTAATATCCTTGAAAACTTAGGTTGCCTTCTCACAAAACAATGAAAACATGCCTATTTCCCCCCCCTCCTCCTCTATTCATATTCATCTCTGACTATTGATTTCTACTTGCCCTTTGTTTCTCTGGTTCTTGGCCAGCTCAACTCGCAAAGTATTACCCCCGAGGCTGAAGCCTTTCAAAGAGGATACAGCGCTCTCTGCGGTTGCTTTATCCCTGTAATCGAGAAAAGCCCTGCGCTGCGCTCCTTGCCAATTCAGTCGTAAAGGAGCTGCGTGGAATTCCCTCAAAGCACTTTTCAGCTCGCTCGCTCTTACGCTGGGAGGTATGTTCCCCACATACACAGTAGTAATCACGCCAGATCCCTCTAATCTGGGACTTAAAGCATCGCTTTCAACATGATGTTGTCCCGTTTGAGCTGAGCCTACGGCAGCCTGCGGTCTGGTATTTTCAGCCATCGCCTTCTCTGGTGTGTTGGCATTTGCCAAGTCCAAATGTTCGTCTCTGAGAGTAACATCCTTGCCAGCCTGCTTCTCTCTGTATCGAAGACTCTTTAGGATGGGGATTTTTCCCAGCATCTCAGAGCTGACCTAAAAAGGAGGAAGACAGATACAATGATGAGATTTCTCGCCTTCCAGAAAAAGATGAAGGCCATCAGGACCATTTGTGCCATAAAAAGAGAGGAACCTTATTACACAGCTACCATTCAGAGTGCGAGAGCATTCAAAATGTTACCAACTGCTGGCCTGATTCTGAAGTTGCTCCCTAAATACACACTGCAGGACAAAAATAAACACTAGTTACTCTTTAAGCAAGCAGCACAATGTCGATCCAGCAGGAAAATCAAAACCAAACTCAGAACTATTCGATTCTGACGTTTATTTATCAGAGCGCTTTCAGATTCGCCTTCTCATTGTTATCCCTTAATATTTGATTTGACCGAGGGCCTGTGCTCCTGCTCTGGCAGAATATTACATGCCTCCAATTCATCAGACACTTTCATTCTGCAGACCTCCTCGTGCTCTTTTCTCCCCAAACAGGATATCCCGTAGGCTGGGTCATACAATGGAGAGGGACGACAGTGTTAAGTTTGCAGCTGGGGAGCGTGCCTTGTAGCGGGGCTCCGATGAGTGTGGGCCCAGCTGGAGGCACGTTCTCTGGTTGTGGCCCATCACCGCAGCCTCCCCTCTTGTCATTCGACCTCACACGCCACCCGCAGCTACTCGTCGGATCCCACATCAGCCTGCTGGGTAGGATCCCGGATGCGCCTGGATGCTATGCTTCAAAACCGTGAACCCTCTGTCCCTTCCATCCATCCCCAGCTCACAAGCAGCTTTTCGGCAAGGGCTCTTCCTCTCGGCAGCTGAACCCTATCCAGCTCAGGCATGAGATGCCCCAGGCTGCACTCGGTGACTGGCAGGAAACACAGTGGTTCCCTAGCTCATGCGGTCTAGCTCTTGGCTCGCAGGCTGCTGTTGGAAGGAGGAATAATTCGTCCTTGGCTGCTGGTCAAGCAGAACATCCATCAACACCAGATCCAATTCTTAAATTTAGGGAGCAAAACAGAGCCTAGAGAAGCAATGCCTGAGCTAGCAGAGACCCAAGCTAGTAGCCCACACAGTGTGAGCAAGCCGCTCTAGCAGGGTGCTGCGCCCACGCTTAGGAGCCGCTACTTCTCGGCGGGCTGTGCTGGACTAGCACCAGCACACCCTGGCTAGGATACACCTACAGATCTCCCAGCTCAGATCTCTCTCACCTCAGCGTCCCTGAATTCCTGGTTCTACAATTACAGTCAGAGTTCGGATCTGGCTGTACCACATAAATTTACAGATCTCTAGCTAGGGAGAGCAGCCCAGCTCTGAAGCAACTGGAGTAAAATCAAAGCCGGGGTGGGGGCAATGTTACATTTAGGTAACAGGACAGCCAGCAAACAGAAGTCTCTTACATGTTCCCAGGGCTCCTCTTCTGAGGAGCAAACAAGCAAGTTTTATTTCAGAATGAAACTAAATAAAAACATAATTTACATAAAGCCTGTCCGAGCTCTGTCTTGTTAATATAATATCAAACAGCAGAACAGCACTAACCAGTATGAGCAGAGGTCACCTCCAGTCTGCCACCCTGCAGACCCAGAGCCAAGGTGTTTGGGCTCAGGCCCTTTAGACAAGCAAACTTTACAACTGAGAACAGGTTCTGGACAAACCTGGCCTGATCTGGCAGCCAGTACAGAGAGGTAAGGACTTCCTCTGGGGGTCTGGGAGCCTCCGCGCTCTGAAAGGTACATGCCATTTTCAGACCTTGAAGAGTCATTGCTCTGTGGATTCTTGGGAGCGATTCGTTTTTCTCGGCTAAGAATTCAGATTGCTGCATTTGACAGCGAACTCCCCTTCCCTGGGCAATACACCACCAAACCAATGGCTGAAGCCATCTTGCTGTGTTTTTACTGGCCAACAATTAGGAACATTTGTTGTCCTCTGTCAAATTTCTACGTGAAATGTAAGCTCTATGCTAATTAAACCAAACAGGAAAAACATTTTTCTATTCTCATGCAACTAATCACTCCTGGGCCCAAAGCAACGACCTCAACCTCTTACCAAGTGTACGTACAGATCCTTTCACCCTGAAATTAAACTCCATTCCCAAGGCAGGGACTGGGTGTTTAGTTAGAAAGAGCAATGATACCAAGGGGAAACCCTCACCACTTTGCAGATTAAGGGAATCAAAGAGATGGGCACTGAGAGGTTGACCTCTGAGAGGATGATCTCTGGAACTCGCAGTCTTTCAAGGACAAACCAAGGAGAGGATTTAGATAATCCACGTGCCAGTATACTCCCTGAGAGACTTCAACTGTCCAGCCTTCAATATTGCCTCTCACTAAAGTCACCAGTAGTTTTTGGCATCAGACCAGAGCTCTCAGAGCTACTGTTTCAGGCTCCCTGCAAACTCGGGAAGATGTAGTTACAACAGCACAGACATCTTCCTAAGGGCTATGAACTGTTGGTTTCGATAAAAGCTGAAGCTCTGATCAAACACCACCATGGACTGAACCTATCATTACCTTAAATTCAGCCCTGTGCAGATATAACAGTATCGAAGCAACACAGGCAGTTGATTCAGCACTTGGATTTTCTGGTAATAGAAAACATTCTGTAAAAAACCTACATGAGACACTGCCAACCGATAGCCTTCTGCCACAAAAGAGACGGAGGATTTACCTTAAGGGCTGTTTTCCCTGGAGTCTAGGAGAATCTTTCAGCTGGGCCAAACCTTCCAAATCCTTCCTTATTTTTCCCAACTTTCAAGGAAAGGCCGAACCCTCAGTTTGGGATTTCAGAGTTTTAATTCAACGAACCAATTCGCTACCTTTTTTGGGGCGCGGGGGGGTGAGAGCCAAAAGGGCAAAGGGGGCAGTGGGTGGCAGAAGAGAGGAAAAAGCTTGCTCCGCTCCACTGCAAAACAGAAAACAAAAGAACTCTGTGGTAGTACAATGTGTTGCTAATTACGATCATGCAAAAAGTTTCTTTTTGTCTTGTGAGCTGTGGAGGATTGCAATGATTTATTTCCCTGCGGAGAGAGGCCAAAGATATTCCTCCTCTCTTTCAAACAAGCTGCACGTTCCTTGGTCCTGTGCTGGCGGGTCCCTCCTCCCTAGCCTTGCCTACTGCTCTAGGCGAAGCCAGGATGCAAAGGACTCAGGTTCTACCCCGAGTCTGGTTGATCCAGTTATGCGGACCTGGGCAAACGCCGTGGTGGAAGCGTCTTCCCTTGCTCCCCCCATCCGTATAAAGTCCAGGCCAAACCATTTATTGATGTTTGTAAACTTTGTATTGAGCGTCGGGATTTAGCTAAACGATCAGCTTTGGCAGCGAAGCCAGCTGAAGAAGTTTCCTATTATTCCCTTGACCACCAATTCCCAGGCCAGTTCCATACTTCAGCCCTCTGGGGTTGGCCAACAGAAATGCTTGTGGGTCTGTGCTATAAACTCAGTAACTGAAGCGATTCAGGTTAAAAATAACTCCACCAAAGGCAATTAATCATTTAACAATCCTGCCTACTCCCTGCCATAGCAGGGAGAGCCTTGGGGAAAGAGGACAGCGGGGTAGATGAATTCTTCTGGCACACAATTACCGGGCTATGGGAAAGGAGCTGAGAAGGGAAACGTGGCCCCTTTCTGACAGAAACCTGAAGAAAACAGAGTCTCGGATGCTGAGTGCCAATACAAATCTCCCAGCACTTAACCCTGAGCATCCATCCACTCCTACGACACCTGGTTTGGTCCCAAAACAACGTAGGGGCAGATGGACTTCTGCAACGTCTCTGCTGGAACATCGGGGCTCTCTTCAACCTCTGTTATTCCAGATCAGTGAACGCAGCCACTTTCAATATTTTGCTGGGGAAAATGAAAGATGTGTTTGTCCTCTGACAGAATGAGTAATGCTGACCCCTGATACAGCGCAGGCCAAGCCAAACACCGCGTTGATTTCCCTGGCAGCAGAGGCGGTGCGGTTCTGATGTAGGGCAGATGAGGGAAGGACAGCTATAGATGGGAGAGCGTGCCAGGTCTGCTGTTTCATTCTGCTTCACACAGCTACCCATCTGCACAACCCAACTGATGTAAGAACACGTGGCTCGAGATGGAGACACATGATGCTGCTGCCCTGCCGTGGAAGGCTGCGAACAAAACCAAACAATCTTCAGGACAGCAGATCCACCAGCCCTTCCACGTGTGGAGGCTGGTAGGTAGAAGGTGTTTGAAAGATTCATCTTTGCCCACCCTGACCCAAGGCTCCTCAGAAAGGCCTCCAGGACAGAGCCCACTTCTCATGTTGTCTCCTTAATCAGCTGCCTGTTTCAAGGAGCACTGATCTCACAGGGGATTAAAGCACAGACAAAGCCAAGGCAGCTAGAACGGCCCAGCGCAGTTGAGCAGTTTATCATTCATTTGCACAAAATGTCCAAATATGTGCACACAATCTGAGGGCATATTTCTGGGAGCTGGCAGCCCGTGAAGTCTGCTAGTGTCCCTCAGGAGAAACTTATGCAACCCGCATTTGGAATCCATCAGCAAAAACTTGATTCCGTGGACTCTGAAGCAAGGGTCAGATCGGCAAAGGTGTTGAGATGTTTAACCACGCGTGGAAGCACGCCCTGCTCACACCATCCCTCCAAAAAACCAAAACAAAACCTTGGCTAATCTAACAGCAATTTTCTTCTGACAGCAACGCTGCGTCCCTGCTAAAGGTTTTGCCAGCTTGAATGTGGGACTTTTTTGAGCTTTAAAGCAACATCACTTTCCTTTCCAAACATCCTATCACAGACCCGAACCAAAAGCTGTTGTCAGATAGATCCATCTCCGCCATTGCACACTAAACTCAACATTGGACCCAGGGATTCCCTCCAGTTCATTTCATTTTGGGAAAAATCTTTTCCTACGTCTATAAAATTCTCAGCAAACGAATGACTTAAAAACCAGAAAGAAATGACTGCTAGAATACAGTGATTTTTCCACCAACTACTCTCATTTCCCTCTTCAAGACCTCAAATATTTTAATTGGTCTGTATAGTTTCAATTTAAAATAAGCACAGCACAAATAACTTCATAATTGTGACAAATATAATAGACAGTGTCACAGATAAAGATCACAGCTACCCATACAAAACACTAAATGAGAAAGTAAGTCGTTGCATGAATTTAGAGTTCCCAGAAACAATGGGTTAGATTGTCAAGACAGATGAAGCCAAATAATTCTCTACTGGCATCCAAATAAAGTTCTCCAGAGGGCTCAGCTCATAGCAGCTCTTGCTGTCCTCCAAGAGCACACACTGATTTCTCAAAAGCCCGAACTTGGATGCAGAAAACTTGCCCATACACACACTCCAGTACTGCCTTTGTATTTAGAAGGGTTTCTGGAGTGCCTAGCACCGACACTGATAATGCTTCTTTGGTATTAATAATATCGTAGCTTTTATACTTCCTTGGAAGTCTTTAAATTGGCATTTCTGTGACAAAAATCACTGCAAGTAATTCACATCTTCCCGTTTGGAAAAACAAACTACCTCAACAGCAAGAAACAGCTCAGCTGGGAATTCTGCACTGAGCAGAACTGAAAGGAGGCAACAGAGGGCAAGTCGTGCCACTTACCCCAAAAGTGAATCACTTACTCACAGATGAACACCTATTTACCCCGTCCCCACACCTGACACACTACTTACTTCCTACGCAGCCCATAACAAACAAAAACACTCCAGGAAAACACAATACCTCTTTGGGCACAGAAATCTACCCTGGAGATATGCATTTTGTTTGCAGCTTAAGTACCTTCTTACTGCTTTCCAGCTGAACACAGAGTGTAGGTATTAATGGCTCTTTAATCCAACAGCTTCAGGAAAGCACATCCCTTACAACAATGCTTAGCTGTAATCCCATGTTTGCAAACACCTTTAATTTCAGCTCTTAAATCATTGTCTTGGCTTGATCCAGCCATGTTCCTGAAGGATGAGCTTTTTTGCAATGTAGTTTACACATCATCTTAACAATAAAGTTAAGCTACTTTCTGTTGACAAAACACCACGTTTAGAAGTGGGTTCTTTATTTACTCACTACCTCTTGGTTCATTTAGTTTTGCTCTGAGCAACAGGAATGCACCAGTAAAGCCAGGATTTGGAGGAGAAAAGGATGAGGAGAAAAGGATGTAGAAACAGCCAGGAAAAGTCAAAGGACAAACACTTAAATAGCCCGTACCAAATCCTGCGTTTTAACACCCCGTCGATTAACCAGACCTCCCACCTCCAAGACCCTCTTGCAGAGTTGAACATACAGTTACCACCACAAACACAAACAAAACACACGCAAGTCGTTCAGCTCCCTGTGAAAGAACAATGCCAACTTCTGTCTTCTTCACACAGACACCACACTTTGTCCTTGTCCCAAAATAACAGAACTGTAATGATGCTCCCTGCTCTGGCGAGTATCCTCCAATATTCTTATCTAGCCAACATACGCTCTGAAGAACAGTCAAAAGCAGCTTTAGGTGTTAAACCAACATTCAAATATTCAAATAAAGGCTCAGTCATGTGATGTGCTCCACTCTCAGTGAAAGCTGTAGAAAATTCAGCCAGAGCTGTATTTTTCAGACACCACTAACAGAAGAGTTGTGGCAGATACATCACTGGTTTATGAGGTGTATAATACTGATCTTGATTTTTGGTTTTTTTTTTTTTTTTTTCCTCTGAAAAGCAAAGAAATGCAAAGGTAACACGGAATCTGACACATCACTTAGGACTGACGGACTTTTCATGAGTGACAAAAAGTTTCACAAAAATTCCATGGCCCCTGCAAGAGACCGTGTTCCCCAGACCTTTGAAAAATGTCGCTGCTAAAGGGAGCCAGACAGGGGAAAAAAAAAAAAAAAGGAAAAAAAAAGTGTTAGCAAGGCCACTTACTGAGACTGAAGTCTGACACTAAGACAGACAGACTGTGATCTAAAGTATGTTGGCAAGATGGATGGAGCACAAGGGGTAAGCCTTCACAACAATTACATTCAATAATATCCTAAAAAAATTATGATTCAAAAATAATTCAATGGAAAAAATGCACTAGTACAGACAGAGCTTTTATTTATTTATTTATAACCTCAAATCCTCAACCACAGGCAGGGTAAAATACTCTTCCACCACAGGAATAAAAATAGTTCTGGCCAGAATTGTTTGTTGTAGATACCTTACCTTAACAAATTTAACTCTTTTTGCTGGCTGGCAAGTGCTTAACAAACCACCCCTGATTTCCCTAGAAGTATTCACCAGTAATTCCTCAGCGGTTTCTGCAAGCCATGGGTAACGCTATTCCTCATTTCAGTGCTCCTGCTGTTCCTCAATCATGTGGGATTGCGTCTGCTCCCTAACTGGATGATTTTAGGAATGAAAATCTAATGACAAAGAAAAAGTTTTCCCAGCAGGAACTTCCAGTAAAACAATTCACTAAATGCTTTTCTGAAACCATTTGTGAAGCTGCTAAAGATTCTGACAATCTTGGGGGGGAAGCCAAACCCATAAAACAATAATTATCAATGAACAAGGATGCACCATTTAAAGCAGCAGAAAGTCACTATTCCTCCACCTGAAAACGAGCTCCAGCCACAAATTCATCTCTCCTTTGGAAGTAAATCCCATACACCCATCCACTACGTAAACAGAAACGTACCAGCCACCAGGTCATGCCCAGAGCAGCACATATGCCTCCCATTCCACACAGCCTGATGCCATCAAGTTCTCTCTACAGTACTGTCTCCAGAAAATGAACAGAGCCAATTTCGGTGAGCACTGAGGAATAAGACACAGCATGTGGAGAAGCCCCTCAGCCTACTTAGACTATGATACTGCAAGTGACTACAAGAAATGCTGTCTGTCTTAAAACCCCACAAACGATGTCTCAGTGACTCTCACCCTACAATCCAGTTGATACAGCAACCTCAGCTTCAGTAATACATTTCTCCTCCTCACCTTCACCACTTAAAAACTGCTGAACACAGATGCTGTTGGTTTGTTTCATCTGACAAACACATTTGCTCCTTTCCACAACAAATGGGTTTATACGTAAAAATGGGGACTGATCGACAGAATGTCGCCACCAGTGAGCCCCCGTCAGCAGAGGTAACTTGCCTTTTGCCATATTATTCCCTGAGGTTTTGGTCGTTTGCAGTTAGTCTTGATAGTTCTTGTTGGAGTGAGTATGTAATCCACAGTCAAATCATGATCATCAAGAAGCTCTTCTGCTATGTCAATCACCTACAAGGAAGAAAAGATTGGGTAAGTAGTTTAAAACAAATTCAGTAAAATTGAGCCCCGTTCCTGATGTCTCACAATGAATGAAAACGTGACAGTGGAACCAAAGAGGCCACACCAACACCACTGCAGGTCTCTTCTTCAGACACACCATTCAGCACCATCACTTGAGAGTGGATATTGTAACGTACCTGACAGTCGTGCACAATAGTGACTACAGGTGTATCCTCCTGCACTGCACCCATCGACACCATCATTGCGTATTCCATGTCTGCATAACCTTCCCCTTTTCCAATTCTCCAGCCTAAAACACACAAAAGCAAACCCAGAAATAGTACCCAGAAATAGCGGAGTGGAAAGGTTGGTCACTGCCAAAAGCACGCAACTAAGCAGTTTGCAGCGGATAAAGTAAGCACAGAGCTGTAACTGGGGAAAAAATCAGATCAGTATCTCTCACAAAATGCAGCTTGCCTTGTAACCAGCACTGAAATGAAAATAAAACATTAGTTTCAATAAAGTCCTAAAGGATCCCAGGAGCCTCCCATTCAGAATAACCCAAATTTAGTCTAATTCAGTTAACATGGAAGCCTATTTGCTCATTGTAATTAGAACTCTCTATCCATCTCAAACATAGGTTAACTTCACGTGGGTAAAGTGGAGTCTGGGTCACACACAAAAAGCACATTATTATATGGAAAATTTTTCACCACCAGCAGGTTGTCAGAATACCAGAAAACACAAAATCTGACCCTAAATAGGTACTGAATCAGCAGCTGTAACACACGTCCGTCCACACACCCTGTGAGAGCAGAGCAGATCCTCTGAACAGGAAGCCTTCTGAGTCTTTACAGAAAAATTTCAAAAACAGCTTACTGAAGGCCAAAACGCTGGCCCACACGCTCCACACCACATTGCAGCCTGCCATAAAGCAGACGTTGGTTCCTCCTGGTTGGATTGGGATCAGTGACTGGTCACACAGAGGAAACAGAGCTCAAGACCGTAACGCAGTTCCAAAGATACGTTCAGGTCTGCCAGAAGGAACGCACAGCATGGCCTCCTGACACTGGGGATTGTGACTCAGGCCCTCCTCCTGAAAAGCTGACGAGGCTTCAGCTTACCTTTTTCAGAGACAGCCACTGATCCTACAACCACCAAGTCCACCCGTGCTTTCCCGTCAAGACCTACGGGCACGCTGTATTCTTTTATACCCTGCAAGAAAAACATCAGTTTAGGTACGCAGAGTGCAGAGTCTTCCACCCAGCGAGGCAGAAATCCAGAATATTTTGATAAACCCAAGTAAGTCCCCACGTTTCAGTGTTTCTTCCATGTATAGCTAAGCTGTACGTGTCTGGGAAGTTATTCTCCAGGGAATCCTAGAATACATTCCCTACTACAGTGACAAGAATTTTGGCAGGCTTCAAGGAGAGCTGAGGGAGGTGGGCACTTTTCTAAGCAAGGTTACTTATTTAGGATAAAAAATTGTATTTTGAAACCCTTTATTGGACATCCATTTCTAAAAAGGAGGGCAAATGACACTTCCTACCCCACTACTACTAACTTAAAGTCGTAATACGTCAATTCATGCCCATGAGGAATCCCAGAGCACTGCAAATTCTCAAGTTAATTCTCACATACTAATCACAAAGTTACTTTAGACACAGCTACACACAAAGATGTTAAGCTGCTTGCCTGAAGTCACACAAAACGCTTTACTGAAGCACGACCAGGTACCCAAACTGGATCACTCTCCATTTCACACTGCACTCCCAGTCTCTCCACACCTGTACCTTTAAAAGCACCTTCCAAAGCTGCCTACATGTTCCCTGAGATGACCTTCCTCAACACTCTGCTGCGTGACCATCATGCAGGATGTGCCCGTGCCAAGCTAAACTAGCTTTACCAAAACCTTCTAAGACAGTAATGAACAGAAAAACACACCGCTCCTGACAAGTGGAAAGAAAAACCTCACATAGCCCTGCCACCCTTTTTTCCTTCCCCTCTCTCCCTGCTGATCCCCACCACACCCCCTCTTCAGGCTCCACTCCAAAGAACGTACCCTAACAAAATCCTGTCCAGAGCTGCAGAAATTAAAAATGGTGTTTACTTGGGCTTTCAAATATCAGAGGTTTAGAACTTTTAAAAGGATATATTGTGATTCATTCAGTCTTAATATATGTGTACCGCATAACGTAAATCCTCCTCACACCAAGGCAACTCCGTGCTCAGTTAAGCCTCACAATAAAAAGCCAAACATTTTCTGCGTTGAGCACAAACCCACAAAGATCAGTAATTTGTGGCTATCAGCAATGACGCTCCTTATCCGCTTCCCAGCGGCGTGGTAACAACTGTTTGCAGGGGGCTTTGTCAAGCCAAACAGGGAATAGCATTTAGGCAGGAGAATGCCTGGTTGGGGGGAAAAAACCAGACACATGGCAGTAAGATCACAGCTCAGATACCAGGCCTGAAGCAGGTCAAGAGAAAGGTCTCTTTCAAAAGCGCTCTCCAACCCTGAAAAGCTTAATTAGTTAATGACTTTAATAGAACTTCCAACAAAGAAAGTTGCTGCTAATTACAGCCCATTTACAACCCTCAGTTGTATCCAGGATTACCGTGGAACTTTATTGCCTGTAGCAGGGGGTAAAGAACGGAATAACACCTATATAGCTGGCCTGTTCGTTTTGTACAAACTGCGTTTTCGTGTCAAAATAAGTAAATAAATAAATAAACCAACACAGGTTTCTTTGCCAAATGACGGCAGCCGTACAGTATGACATGTGAGCACCAGAGGGCAGCAACACACCACACTTGAAAGGAGAACGGTGAGCGCATTTTTGCGCCTCAGCCGATGCAAATGAGTTAATGTTTCTTTCGAATTAGGATTCTAAACCAACCGATCTGTCCTACTCAGTAAAACCTAATATTTTATTGATCAGATTATGCAAAACCTGTAAAGACTAAAATACTCCTTGTAGGGTTCACTAGCTCAAAACGGCAGAAAACAGGAGCACTATTTATTAGAAATCTAAAGATCTAACTCACTTATCAAAGCTGCTCATGTTCCAAAAAGCACTCACAAAATATTGACACCATTCTGCTAATAAAACATAGCAAAAAAAAAAAAAAAAAGACTAGATTTCCTCACGATTTAAGTACCAACAAAAAAATTCTTAACAGTGGATGTGTACACAAACCCCGGGATAACACACTAACAGAGCAAGATTTCAGGTGGCATCTGGTTTTCCAACTTCTAGTTGGACTACCACAACACAACGCTCTCCTACAAGGTAATTCAGACCTCTCCCATTTTTCATTCCTACCTGAGACGTAGCACATCTTCGTAGCATCTCCTTAGTTGCCCCTGAAGGTGGAAGGATCTTATTGAACAGCCCCGTTCTCAGACGCGGTGTGGGAACCAGCAAAGTCTTCCTTGCCTGTGTAACAAAAGAAGTTACGACGTTACAAGGAGGTGAGCCACTGAATAAGTATTTTTACTGTCACATAAGTGTCCGTGTGGTCAGACATCTTACTGGCTACAGAGCAGCCAGCATTGATTGTGCGGTGCTTGTAGATGAATCCCCTCCCGTTCAGCAAAATTCCAGACAAGATTTTATTTACGAAATAGATGGTTTTGGGGAATAACAATACAAAGAGAGCGAAACCACTGCAGAAATATATTCATTTCCTCAAACCCTACCTGCACCTTCACTATCTGGCAAAAAGGCAAAGACATCCTCACGTGAGCAACCTCATGAAGCTTAGGGACTGGTGATGCTCCCGTCGGTGAAAGGGCGGGCATCGATGACGAGACGCTGCCGAGCGCTGCCCTGCTGTCCCACCCGCCCCCTCAGGGGTGCAAAGGTGCCGTTACCTGCAGCGCAGCCAGCCGAACACCTTCCAGGGGTTTGTCAGGGTCCACTTTAACCTCACGGGCTCTGCTGAACACATCCAGCTCTTTAATGGAGCAGCAAGCCTGGTGAGACCCCTGCGTGAGGAAAGGAATCAAGAAAGAAGAGAACTCGGTCACTTACTTCCAGCGTCAGAAAGCGAGCGTTCTTCTGGGGAGCGTCGGGATTTATTTTTACAGTACTGGCAGCTTTGAACTCCTGTAAACCCAGAAGCCTTGTCGCAGCACAGGAGGCACCCTGTTTTCATAAGACACCAGCGCATCACCAAGGAGTTCGGAGCAGAGATGGGCAATTTATACAATCTTTCATCCCATAGAGAGGCTGGCTTCCCCAGATTTTAAATAGGAGGGACATACGGCTAATTTTGGGATGTTTTCTATGGGAAACTCTCACATGGCAGCAGATGCTGAGCACTTGACTACTATCTTGCAGGCCTCAGAGAAAGAGAGGATGCAAGTAGAGTCACTTTGCCTGGCTTCACCCTCATTCACACCTAATTAAAAGCTGGAAAACAATCTCCCTTTTTAGTCAAGGAATACAGATTCCTTTAAAGGCAAGACATAGTCAGGGATTCTTTTAAGTCAAGACTTGCTGGACAAGGCTCCCTCTTTACAGAGACTACACTGAACTCAGAAGATTCCCTTCCTAACCTAGTAAAGTGCTCAAGCTTAGCAGAGCACGAACTCCCCCTGTAATTTCAGCTCCGATATCCCCTTTCTTAAGCGCATGATAAAGCCTCCGGCTTCCTCCACCTATTTTACCCCAACGCCAAACTAAGGCAGAACGTTTCTGCCAGGCCCTTGGTCAAAAGCAGAGCCAACCTCCTAACGCTGCTCATGGCCCGAAACCCACAACACTATTTCAGTCATCGTTTCTTCAACATGTGGCTGCACACCTTGAGCTTGGATTAAAACACACAGATGGTAAAGCAGCGGCCTGAGTAAGTGAATACTTAGACGTCCTCTTATTTCTTCCTCCCACCCATCAAACTGGGGACGCAGTGAAGCCAGAGCGGGAGGAAGGGTTCTCCCACCAC